CACCTTAGGCTATCAACAAGAGCTACAACACAACACCCCTTCTTAACTCAATTTCATAGAATAATTTGCCAAACATGGCTTTGTCACACTGCTGCTCACCTTAGGAATTTTTCTAAGTCTTGAGCTGGATTTGTTTTCAAGATCCATTTCTAGACTATTAGAAATACTAGCTAGTAACATTATTTTTCTACAGCAAGAGTTGCATTGTTATCTACAAAGTTTATACTTTAAATTTTATTTAAGTCTCATATATAGGTTCTATAGTAATTTTTGTTCAATAAAAATTAGTTTACACCCTTACTTGTTAACTGTACGAATCGTGGAGCAACTTTCGTTTCACATTTTTGTTGATCATTTTAGTTGTAATGCATTATCTACTCACTTCACCACATGCATTAACACACAAGTACGATGCTCATGACATGTTTTAGTAGATGATTAATGGTGTAACACCGAGGGTGTTACACAACCTATCTCTTTCTTGCTACGTACTCTACAACTGGGCTTGGAGCTGTTGGAGCACTTGCTCTGGGGTTGGCTCCGGTGCTGGTTGCTCCTCTATCGCCACAGGTTGATCCTCCACAGCATCTTCTTCTATGTCTGGCTCTTCAGAAGTAGTAGCATAGGTGCTACGGGCGTTACGCCTAGGCCTTCCCCTTCTGGTAGGCTCCGAAGGTGCTCTTGCGGAGGCTGCTCTCTTTCTTGCCATTGTGGTTTTGCTTGGCCAACACGCGGTGGGCGCCAATGTTGGAAAATAGGGTTTCTAGCAGGTGGGATATGATGGGTCCTTCGCCCAGCTGTGTGCCCCAGGCGAAGGCTAAGAAGATGATAGGTGAGACCAGGCTCAATTAGGGTTTCATAAATGGAGTCACCAACCTTCTTTATACAGGGCTCAAGTCCCCCTTTTATAGTATACTGTTAGCCACCCTCCTAGTTTACATTTCTACCCCTTGACAGCTGAAGCACATTCTAGGAATATCCCTTTGCTAGCATAAACTACTAGGGGTGATCTAGGTATTTTCATCTTGAACCGCATCCGCTTCTTGGGCCGCACCTACGCGCCTACAGACCCAGCGTCATATTACCTTATGAACCTCCTCCTTCCTGGCGGAGGCCTACGCGAGCCTTTTGTGATCTTCGCCCGGGAAGCCTTCGCCTGAGTCCCCATCTTGCTGCTTGGGCCGTCGCCTTCGCTGATACCGCAGGAGCCTCCGCCTCGGGCTAGCCTAGCAAGCCTTCGCTGCGGTCCTTTGACCTTCGTTGGGCAGAGCCGTGGGTGTGAAGGCCTCTGGTTCTCTTCCCTACACATCACTCCAACAATTGGTTAACGTTAGTTCCTAGTGCTGTAATGCGCCTTGACCTCCGCGTCTCATATTCATGCCCCAACAGTTTGGACGCTAGGGCCCAGATCGGACGTCCGAGCATTGGCAAGTCCTGCGTGAAGAAAGGTGGCGCGAACCCCCTAGATCCCCCGTGGCGTAGATAGGCGCTTACTTATAGGTTTAGTTAAAGTTAATTCTAAGTCATTCAATTTGTTTCATTAGATCGGTTTGCTTTAGTAATTTCATTCCAATTGTAAGCGCCTCATTTTATTTTATAAATGAATAAAGTTGTCTCCTGGTGTGTCTCACAGGTGAGACTTTGTTATTTCATCATGTTTTCTATTGAATAAAAAATCAAGGTTGCCACAAGATTCAGTGTGAGGATTGATCAACCTCTCTACATCTAGACAACCCCCACAATTAGCAAAAATGGCTTCACTAAAAGCCAAGCAGAGCAACCACGCTGGACCACGTGAAGGCGTCCCCGAGAGGCCACTGGGCTAGGTCGCCTGACCTAGTCCAGCAGCCCCTGTGGCCCACCTTGACACGTCTCATAGGTTTGCACTCCTAAAGCCTTCCCAGTACAAAGTTTTGTTCTAGAAGTTGATTCTAATTTATCGATCTCTAAATGTTAACAAAACTTGCTTAAAAATCATAAAATTTGACCCTTGATTGATCAGAACAATGCTTAAGATTGGCTTGCATAAATTTTATTCCTTATCTTACACTTAATGCTTGTGGGCTACTTTTTATAGAATGACCTTCCTAAGTTGTTGTGCTGTGAGATATATTAATGACAAAAGATGTTGCTTTTTCTTTAATAATGACTTTGGAGATATTTATTTTCAACTTAATTAAATATCATGGTACCATGACTCTCATGTGATGATGAATACCTACCAAAGTCAAAGTTGACAAGTCATGTCACTACTAGCCTTCTATGTACGCTATTTGTTCTCATTTTGAGCTTTGTCGAGCTTTGTGATCTAGGTAGAGAGATATGTCATCCTTTCATAACCAAGTTCACACACACGCCACCTTATACATGCTATTTCTACACTAGAAGTACGCAAAAACATGCCTGTCATAACCACCACATGTGTTGCACTCCTGTCATCAAATCTCTCTCTCTATATATATATTGTTATAAGGAGACATGGCTATACAAGAGTATTGAAAAAATGGACACATGAAGATCCAAGTATAGGAAAAAAATATGGACACATGAAGGTCCAAGTATAGAAAAAAATGAGCACATGAAGGCTCAAGATTATAGCAAGGATAGCCATGTTCTCAAAGTTCAAAGAGAGAGAGGTGTCACTCAAAGGAGAAGAAACTCTCAACCACCTATTATCATACACTTGCACAACTTGGTTCATAGACTGCATGGCATGTCCCTCCTAGGAACCATTGTTTGACTTAGCAATATGAGCAGATCAAATATGCTCTACCATATCTTCCTTACCTGAAACTACACATAAGCTTTAGAAAGTACCAGAGGCCATCTCAAAAAGGCCTTGGTGAGATTCATACACCACTAAATGACTGAGAGCATTACATAAGGAGATACATGAGTCATGCTTTTCTTTGCAAAAATCATAAAAATCTCCAAAGAATATTGAACAGAGAGAAGTTGACTGACTTTGATCAAAACTATTCCACTTCTTAACCAGTCAAGAATTGGTCTTAGACACTTCAAACCCACGTGTATGAGTATGTGATTTGGAATATCCTTTATGCTCGCTTCATGTTTGAGTTATGACTCAATTCTGGATTCACCTAAGTCCTTTGTTCTCATTCGTACTCTTTATTCAAGAAGAGCAAAAGTCTAGCATGGGGGAGCTTATTGATGGTCCTTATACTCCATTTCTAACCATCAATATGTCCTCAAGTTAAGCATAAAAGCAACAAAAAAGCAAGAATTTTTTTTTATAATTTTAAATGGATCTACTTGTACTTGGAGAAATTATTTATGAGGGCAAAACAGTAAATATCACTAAAGAAGAGGCTTGTAGAAGGCATCTAGCAGAGCAGGTGAGCCAAGGCCCACCTAGTGGGGTCGACCGACCACCACCAGGGTCACCCCGCCTGGGCTACCAGGTGTCCATGTCACCAATCCATGGCTCGCTGAATAAACACATTTATGGTCGTTTTTGTGAGTTGATCAATGGCTAGTTTGATCCGGTGCTCACTAGGATCTCTCCATGGATTGGAGGGCCGGCCACCGTCATACACTAAAGCAATCTACTTATCTTTTGATATATTGAAAAACTTCGTCACATTACAATGATAAGATGATTCGTATGAGTTGTATTTAGAATCGGGGAATAATATATTGTTGTGGCTCCAAAATGGCTTCATTAAATGCTTTATTAAAATGCAGAAATAATACTTTTCTAATTGAGAAAAAAGTATTTTTGGAATAACTTGAAAATAGTATAGCAAGTTTTACTTTAAGAGAAAGTAGTTAGTGCTTTTGAAAAAGTTTCGGAGTGATGAACGTAGGACTTGAGCTCAAAATCAGGCACATTAAAAAATAGGACCATGAATCTGGAGACTATAACGCGCTGTTTGGATTTTTTTTTTTGAGCAATTTAACTTATAAGATATAAGAAGAAGTCCACATGATCTTCTTAATTAAGAAACCAGATGTTTGTACTCAGGATCTGTTCGGCACAGCTTCACCACCAGCTTTATAATCTGTTTGAAGTTTTTTTTACCAAACAATTTTTTGCAAACAACTTCACCAACTTAAATCATGCTCAAATAGAAATGCGATGGGATGAAGCTGAAAATAATAGTTTTTACAGCTTCACCTCGTACTTGTTGACCCTGTGTAGGGTTCTATTAGAGCAAGTTTGAAGAAAATTTACATGCAAAGCTATTTTGTCAAACGGTTCACTAAAATAGTTTTAACTTTACCCAAAAACTATAGAGCTGAAGCAAAAAAACTGATTTTGAGGTGTGCCCAAACGGAACCTCGGACTATTGTAACCGGTTAATTTTACTCATTAGCTTCTTTTTAAGACAATTTCGGTCGACGTGGCACTACGGTACCTTCCATGCAGGTCATGGGTCCCACATGTCAATCACTCTCTCTCCTCCCTTCTCCTAGCGCTTGCTTAGGGCTCATTTGGAATACAGAAATTTCGCACGAATTTTACAGGAATTTAACGGAAATCAGTTTATTTTCGCAGGACAAATGCAGCAAACAGGAATTTTCCCCGCAATCAAAAGGGGCCTTAGTGGGCCAAACGGAAGGCTTCTCGCGGCCTACTGGGCTTCTCTTCCCTTCCTCCGAGAAGCCGAAAGCCCGTGCGAGGGAGCTTTTCCGCAGCGCCCCCGCATCGGCCCCGGCCGCATCACTCGCGCCGCTCCTCGCGCCACCCTCCGGCCTCCGCCGCCTCGCGCTGCCTCCCGCCCCCTCGCACCGACCCCCTCAGTCTCACCCTCCCTCGCCGGAGCCCCTCCACCACCGGGCGCTTCCCTAGCCGGAGCCCCTCCCCTATCAGGCGCCTCCCTCGTCAAAGACCTGTGAATGTGAGCCGGCTTCCGCGCTCCTTTGTCCTCTCTCTGCTCGCCGCCTCTTGCGCTGCTTTCTATTCTTTCCTCGCATCCTGCGGAAGAGGGGAGAGGCGAGAGCGAGAGGCTCGACCGCATCCAGGGGTGGGGCTCGGTATGGGGGGAGGCGAATGCGCCCTGGGAGACGCCGCTAGAGGCGAGGAAACCCTAAACTACGACGGCGATGACGTCGAGATGGCCGATGCGGACTCGGACACGGAGGAAACCCTAGCAGCTGAGGTCTCCGCTGCAACTGGAGGAGCCGCCGGTGGTGGCGGGCACGCGGAGAAGGACGGAACGGAGGGAAAGAAGAGGAAGAAGAGGAACAAAGGGAAGAAGAACAAGGGGAGGCAGGATAGGACTCCCACCACCATTGCTGACATTAATCGGTAAAAACCCTTGCACTACTCACCTAGGGTTATGTGTTTTGGACTATGTATGAATTGACGATGCAAACTTTGGTTGGATACCGACTGGTAGTATTTTGTTTATGGCTATCGGAGTTCATATAGCACTGGAAGAATTTGTTCAAGCCCAGCAAACGATTTGGACATTTCGAACTAAAAACTGTTAGGGCCTGTTTGGATCCCTAGAATCGAAACCCATTTTTAGAATTAGATTCTAGGTATTAGATTAGACTCAACAAGAAAAGAATTTAGAATTACTCAGAAATTTATTCAATTCAATTTTCTTGTTTGGATGTACATGGAATCCTTTTCTAAGAATCAATTTCAAATGTTGTTTGGATGATTGGAAATATGGAATATTCAAATGCAGCTGCTCTGTATACACAACAAGATCGATATCACTATCACCCACAGAAAACTCAACCTCTCACTACCCAACCTTCTCTCTGCAAATAACAAGTATGATATCTTTCTACACACAATGTCAGAGAGCATGATGTGGCCATCTTCCATCACGAGGATGAACATGACATGGTCGTCTTCTGGCTTTAGGTCTCTGTAGATCACTCAAAGCATATGCAGGTACTCCATCACAAGGGGCACTTCTGCTGCATAATACATGCCAAAAATAAAAAGAAACACACACAACAGAACCTTCCAAAAATGCGTCTATGCTAATTTAGGCATCAAGTTCCACAGTATGATACGCAACTCTCTTGTGTGTTCAAGAAAAAAAAAAGAATATGGTGTAGGTTGTTGTGCCTTATGTTACATGGCAACACTTCTTTTGATCTGAAGAGGTAGAGTTTAGCTTTTGAGATGTCTTCTTGGCAGACTGTTTTGTTTGATAAACAACTTGTTATTTGAATCGTGATTGATTTTTTTTTATCATATCTGCTTTCTGTTACCACTGATTTGGCCCAGGAAAGTTTGTTCTCCTTTTGCATCCAGTATATGTTAGGCTGCTGAATTTCACAAACTCCTTTTATCCCTGATGCAGATTTGTCCTTGATACTTGCAAGTGCTTGAAGGAGAAGAAGTCATACCTTGTCTGGAATGCTGTTGGCTGCCTTGGTGTCACTGCTGTCACTGATCTTGTTAGAGAGGTATGCAATGCTTATGTTGAACAACGCTGCACTACTGCTGAAAGTTTATTAGAAGAAATAGTTTAACTAATAAGTGGCTTATTTATTTTCTACTAAAGCAGTATAAATGCCATTGAATATTTGTATTTTAAGCTTTTGTTGACCTTTTGTTTTGCCTGGCACTTCAATGGTAGACCATATAGTAGTTCGTATCCTTCATTGGAGATCTGTTGCCCACTGCTCTTACAAGCACCACTGCCTTGGTTATTTTTGCAGTTCGTTGGATTTGTTTGTTTTGTGTACTTGAGAGATTTGGAGTTATTTCAGGAGAATCTCTGAAAAATATTATCATCTACATACTTGATTTGGTGACAAATCAATTTGCAGTTAAGTTTCTATTTCATTGCTACCATGTTATGAATTCCTTAGCGTTAACATATACATATATATCATACTGTGTGTTATGTAAAAGCAAAGGTCATTAACATTCAATTTTAGGAGTTAGTATATCAATTGTTGTGTTAAAACTGGTGTTTGGTTTGTAGATGTGTAGTTTGTGATACTTATATGTTTATTCCACCGAATCCTAAATATATTTGATTCCAGGTGGAGGCTATTCAGAAGTTTGTGGTGGGCAGACTATTGCTGACGGAAGCCGTTTCCGCACTGGCGGTGGAATTCTCTGGAACATCTTAAAGTCACGGGAACCCAAGGCTTACAAGGAAATAATGGCAAAGGGGAAGGAACTTGAGGTACTTTTTATCATTATGAAGGGATTAGTTATGTCTATGATGCCTATACTACGAAAATAACAACAAAAACAGGTACGAAGTCATTTAGTCCCAAGCAAGCTGGTGTAGGCTATAGATGAAACCTGACAAGACCCACAAAAATAAAAAAAGGGCAGACCCAGTGCCGGAGGCTCCCACATGAGTGGGGTCTGGGGAAGGGAAAACCGAGGCAAGCCTCCCCCCCGCAAAATTTGCGGAGAGGCTGCTTCGAACCCGTGACCTGGTGACTCAGTGAGACAGCTCTCACCACTGCACAAGACCCACAAAAATGGAAAAAGAAATAACCTAGATATGATTTAGCAATTATATGCAGGAGATAAATGTAGTAACTTGTCTTCATATCAAGTAATTTGTCATTTTCCTCAACTTTCTTCTACCTTTTCAAAACAACTTCGGAGTCACTGTGCATGCCCATCATTATCATAGAAGCTTTGGGTATTGATTTCTTCTTTGAGGTATCACTGCCTGTGTGGACTAGAATTCAGTTCGGTGTTAGATTGCTGCCTCTGTAATGAAAATAATCGAAGGAATCATTGTGAGTTTGAGTTTGACCCCGCCCCCCCCCAATTTGTCGATGTGAATACAACTTCAACCTGTTGAGAACTGAGACTAAATTACTGTTCCTTTTCCTTTGTTTTCTTTTCTTCCCAAGACACTATTTTGAGCATTGTGCTAACTAGCATTGATATTTTTTCTTTTGACATATGTCAGTAAATACATGTTTTGGTGATCCTTTTATTAATTCACTGGTCTTTTTTGGCATCTGTTGTATGGAATTAACTTGTATACTTCCTCCTTGCAGAAGCAGTTTAGGTATACAAAACGACCACAGATTAGCAGAAACGAAGATGCAAGTTCACAGGGCAGTGCATTAATCGATGATGAAATTGAAGCGCAAGAGCAAAAGGAAATGTTGGATGATCCTGAGCAGTTAGATGATGTGGAGGAGCCACCCGCATCAGACAATAAAGTTCAACGCAAACCACTGGCGGACAGAATTCGTTCTCCTGTTGCTTATGACGATCTGTTTGAAGAGGGAGAGATACACGAAGGAGAACCACAAAGTTGAAGCATTTCAAAGGTTATGCCTCATTGTGAGGCCCAAAGGAATGGCACATAATTGCAAGAGCATGAGTATGAACTAATGAACTACCACTGCAGTGTAGCAATTTTCCCCTGAACATCATCCCCGTGATCTTGCAGCGATAGAGATTTTGTTGCGTTCAGTGAAACCAGTGTTGGGCCTGAATTCAATGGTCAATGGAAATCGTGGTTATATAAGTTTTGGGTGTATAATGTATTTTTTTTCACCACACTATATTGAGGAAGAAAGAATATGGAGAGAGTAGTAATGTAGCATCGGCGGTAGGTTTAGGGTTTTAGGGCATGTTTGGATCCTAGAGCTAAAATTAGCCCACCTGGTAAAAATGGATTAAATATGAGCTAATTATGGGCTAATAAGGGCTAACCACCTGTTAGCTCTCATTAACTCTTAATTAGTCTAGATTTAGCCCACATTAGGGCTTTCTAATTGGTATCCAAAAACATGAGATAATTATTTGCTCCTTGATCCAAACTACCCCTGAGTGTCTGGCCTTGCTAGGGTAAAAATGCCAAAGACATGCGTTTTAAGTTGCTAGCCTTTATCCATCCTGAGTATGCTTTAAGTAGTCACAGAAATAAAACGAAGTATAGCAATACTCAAGCTAAGGTTTCAACACCTAATGGCCTCTTTGGAACAAAGGAACGTCCAGAGAACACAAAACAGATAAATGATCCGAGGTTATGAGCTTTCCAACTAAAGTGATCTAAGTAGTAGTACTAGGATTCTTATGGCACTTCGAAATTCTTGCGTGAACAAATTTTTTACTTATTTAGCAAAAGAAATAGGTGTAGCTAGTAATTTGTGCATGAAGCTTCTGTAAAGAGTTTGTGTCGCAAAATTTGAGATTCAACTTTTGTTTACCCAATCGAAACACAAGTTCTTTTTGTGTTTGTTTTTATTAAATATAGTTGTGTTATATACTCCCTGTGTTCTAAAAAAAATGCAATTCTCATTTTTCAATGAGTCAAATAGTTTAAAGTTTAATGAAAATTTTATAAAAATACTAACATTTGATACAAAATAAGTATGATTAAATTAATTAGATAATATAATTTCATAGTAGATCTAAAGACATAAATGTTAAGACACACTATAAAATTTGTCAAACTTAAGCAGGTTTAAGTAGCACAAATCTTATAGTTATGTCTTTTTGGGACGGAGAGAGGTAGGTTTTGCAATCAAAATTTGGGCAAATCTCTAATCTCTCGCTTTCAGCGTTGTCCCTTGACTTCAGTTCATTCTCTCATAAATTCAGGCAATTTTAGAACAAATTTCCAAATTTCCCTGCTACAAATTTAGCGGCTGGAAATTAGTAGAGTAATAATAATTAATAAAATTATATATTTCCATTTCGCAGCCCCAAGCCCCCCACCAGAACGAGACTTTGGCATTTCACCCATCCTCAAAAACTGGTTTCGCACTTTTACCATCCCGCAAAGTGGTTTCAGCTCGTTTGCCATTATGAAACTGGTGTAACCCGCTGGAATATATTTTGAGTAGTTTTAATTCGTGGAAAAAAAAAGAAGACACACCCTTCCCCTTCTGCCCCTACGCTGCCGTCGTCGTCCAAGCGGGCCCTCCTGAGGTGGAGTATCCTATGCGGCTCCTCACCGTTGGCGGCGCGCAGGCCGCGCAGCTCCACCGCGAACTGCGCCACCAGCACCTTCCCGTTGCCCACGCCGCTCCGCTCCAGCGCCTCGACATACTCGGGCCGCGCCGCGCGCGCCGTCCCCACCGCCGTCACCGCGGACCCGGCACATCCGCGGCGTAGAACCGCGGGAGCCGCTCTTCCTCGCTCGTGCCTGCTCCTCCTCCGGTCGAGGCTCCGAGCACTGGCGCGGCAACGGCGAGCACTGCTCGGCGGCGCCTATGTCCGCGGCGGAGGTCCGCCCGGGCTGCTACCTGCGCGGATGGCAGCTTCTTCAGGTCGGGGGCGAAGGCGAGGCCATGGAGAAAAGCTGCCGCTTGGGGCGAGAATCGGAAGGGAGGCCTTTGTGGTGGTGGCGGATTTTGCGCGGCGGCCGCTTCTTCTTTGGAGCCCAGCCGCACGCCGCCGTCTTGTGATGTCTGATCGCGAGAGAGAGTGAGAGCTTCGCACGCAGCGCGTCTGCAGATGCTGGTCGGTCTCACAACAGAGAGAGACATGGAGGAGGCGGTGGAGGCTGTGGTTGCGGCCGGAGTGGAGCCATTCCCGACGGTGGACAAATGCGACGTCTCGGGCCTCGGCGCGCACTCCTCCGTGGTGGCGGACCTTGGCGGCACGCTGCTCCGCTGCCGCAGCGCGTTCCAGTACTACGCGCTGGTGGCCTTCGAGACCGGTGTCGGAGTCTGCGTGCGCGCGCGTGCTGGTCTTCGGTGCCATGGCGGGCGCCCGTGCTCCCGCGGTTCTACGCCGCGGATGTGCCGGGTCCGCGGTGACGGCGGTGGGGACGGCGCACGCGGCGCGGCCCGAGTACGTCGAAGCGCTGGAGCATAGCAGCGCGGGCAACGGGACGGTGCTGGTGACGCAGTTCGCGGTGGAGCTGCGTGGCCTGCGCGCCGCCGACGGCGAGGAGCCGCCTAGGATACTCCACCTCAGGAGGGGCCGCTTGGACGATGACGGCAGCGCAGGGGTAGAAAATGAAGGGTGTCTTCTTTTTCTTTCCACGAATTAAAACTATTTAAAATGTATTTCAGCGGTTACCAGTTTTAGAATGACAAATCACTTAAGGTGCGAAACCTGTGTCTGAGGATGTGTGAAATGCGAAGTCTCCCCAGAACAGCGAGCCGCAAGCCCGCAAGAAAGGTCGAAGCGTCTCTTCCGCACGGAGACCTCGTGCCCGACCGCCTGAGATCAGAAACTCAGAAGCGAGGATGGCGACGACTGCGACTAGGCGGTGGTGGAGGCGGCACGACGGCGGCGACGATGACCCCGACGACCTCGTCCCCATGGACACCCAAGGTACGATGCAATTTCACGCGCTCACCTCTCCCCCCCCCCCCCCCCCCCGCCCTTGGGGTTTTAGACGCTGTTGACGCCACGAAATCGAATAACTGTTGCTGCGGCGATGCGTTTTGCAGAGCAAGAGGAGCTGGTCCGGTCGCTGGAGGCGAAGCAGGCGCAGCAGAGCCGCCGTTGGAGGGTGCGTTTCAGATTCCCGATTCATTCGGCCTGGCGTTATGGGAGGAGAGACCTTCCGTGGGCGCAGGGCTCTGGTTTGTGTCTAGATTTGACGATTTCGTGCTCACATCACCTGCTGTTTTGCGCAGCGCGTCTTCGCGGGGTTCCTCCTAGGTTACGCGGCCTTCCTTGTCTACTCCAGTTTCCACCATGCTTGGTCTCCCTGGGAGCTGGTTGGTTGCTTACTCCTATCAACTATTCTTCCGTTTATGATGTTTAGTGGTCGTTTATGCCCAATTGTTGATGTACACCTGCCATCATTTGGGGGCCCAAGATAATTCAGGCACTGCACAACGAGTTCCTTTTATGTTGGATTAGGATCATAAATATCAAAATCATGTTATTTTGTTCTGTACTTCTTACGCTTTCTTGCTTCCTGATAACTGAAATGCTTGCAATAAATAATTAGTCACTGATGTATGCTTGGCACTACGAAGAATCATTATTATTGGAAGAATCAAGTTTTGCTCATTGGTGTAGTTATCTATTTGCCTTAAACTGTGCTTCTCAAATTAACAGCGGTACCATGCTTACTTCATGGAAGATTTGCCTGCACCAATGGTCATAATTGCAGGTTTGGTATCTCCTTCAACTATTTAGTTTTAGCTTGCCAAGTTCTAAACAAACAATGTGTTGATGCTTCTAACTGAATTATTTTGGATCACGTTGTTATTTAGTCAAAGTTGACTAGGGTGCTTACTTACAATTTGATTTGCCACCTAAAACAATTGTGAGCTTCCCCATGTTATCAGCAGATGTATTTATGATTTATAGACCACATATTCATTGTACTGTACAATATTGATGCTCATATAGGGATCTACTTTGCATAGTTGTGTGTGCATGCACCATATTATTCACAATGTTTATATTTCTTACCTTAGTTCTGCCAGGGCTTCCCTGATCATTTGCCTCAAAAGGCTGTTTAGACTCAGCAAGTGTTCATGATTATGATTTTATTAGTATGCTAATTGCTACCAGTAGATAGTTGTAATTTAGGAGTCTGAAAGAGGCGAGGGAAAGAATGATACTGGTGCCTTACCAGTACCTGGTTGTTAGTAACTTATTCCATTTGGATTCCCATTTTGTCCTAGGATCCCCATATAAAATGGAGAACACAGTGCTCATAGCCTGATAGGCACAAAGGCATATATATTACCCAACTCAAATTGATTCTCCCAACACTTTGATCTGAAGATACATATATGTTAAATTGCAGATTGGATAGCTGCTCTAGCATGCCTATTTGCTGTTAAAGGATTACTACAGAATTCAGGCCCATCAAAGAAGTGGATGTGGTATTCGTGCTATATTGGCATTTTGGTAGCCATCTTTTGGACATACTACCTATTAAGGTATATCATCTCAGTCAACTATTCATCTCTTTTGTCCTTCCTGCGTCAATCAAATGCTTTGCTAAAATGTTAGCATCTCAATCAATTTCTACCCTGACAGTACTATTCTAGCTGTTGCAGCTACATTAACACACAGCAAGAAATTCTAGGTATTGTCTTCTTCTGACTGTTGGTGTTGGTGTTGTAGGTTGCCAATAATTCGATGGGATGTTGCATGGCTCCCACTCGGCCCTTTGATGTATGGTGGACTTGAATTTCTTTTAAATATTCTTTCAGCGACTGCTCATGAATGATAGTTAACATACTATTGTCTTGTATATATGTGCTACTATGCAGGGCTGGTGCGTTGAGCCTTTATGTGGACCATGTGTTGCTGAAGTCAATGAAAGATATCAGCACATTGAGAAGTTACATGTATAACTTCAAGGCCTTGTAGTTTTGAGTATAGTTTCCCTTGCTTCTATGTAGCTATATGTGGAACAGGTTCTGGCCATTTCTCGTTTTGTTTAGTGGCAGAGTTGTATAGGTACCTTGTTACATCTTACATGGTGTGTTAACATGAATTTTTAACCTTAGTGACTACTTATGCATCATTTTTTGATTAGTGGCGAGTGTATGTACAAGCTGTGATGTCAATGGGCACCACAGCTGTTTGAAACATTCCCCTGCTTCTACTGATGTTCTTGTTTGTATTAGTAATTGATGATTTTAGAGGGGCTGACAGCCTGACACAGCAGGGAGGGTTTTATTTTCATTTCAATTTTTGGGATGTTTTTTTTTTCGTTTTGTGAGAGAGGATGGCTATGTATTTCAGTGAAGACATGTTTGGTTTGGGGACGAGATTTGACGGGACGGTCCCATTCTTTTTTTTAGTCAATGAGGGGTCCGAGTAAATTGATGATTTCGTTGTTTTTGTTCGAATGATTGTGCAATTGATGATGGTGAAAAAACGAAGGAGCATGAACAAGGTAAATGTTAATTTTACGTTCGCCTCGTGACAGAGTAGACGAAAAATCTCATTTGTGAGCCCGGTTATTTACTTATCTCTGTAGTTTGTTCTCACTTTTCAGTTCTCACTCTATCGGCAGTGGCCATTTTTGTAAAAAAAAAAAAAAAAGAAAAACCCGGCAGTGGCCACAGCTCAGTCACAACGGCCAAGTGAGAGAGGCCTTCCGTGCTCTCCTAGCACAACGTATCTCGGCCCCGTCCAGTGCGAGTCGGGAACACAAACAGATAGCATCCCGCGTCGCCGCGATGGAAGCCTCGCCGTTGCCGATGCTCGTCGCCCCCCGCTTCCTGTCTCTACCGCCGCTGCTGGCGCCGACATGCCCCCGGCGGACCGCTCCCTTCGTCCGCGCGGCCACGCAGACGCTGGAAGCTCTGGAGGCGCCCAAACCGCCGCGGCCGTCCCCCAGGCGCAGCGCCGTCGCTGAGGTGAAGGGGGCCCCGGACCCCATCGCCGCCCTCAACAGGTACTCCCTGGCACAGTTTGCTGCTTGCTATGGCGCTCTGCTTCCAGTGGCAGAGACGAGGGATGTTAGGATGCGGTCAGTAGTTCAGTGCTCATCGATTTCAACTGAAGCCGAACCCTGCAAATTACGCCCTTCGTGTGCAGGTTTGAGGAGGTACTGCAGACACAAGACTGCAACATAATTCTGCGCCACTGCGGGGACACTAGGCGTTGGGATGACCTCTCTAAGGTAGTGTCTGCCTGCCTGGGGCCTTTGCATTCTCTGGTGAATTGGTGCTAGCCTGTGGGACTAGGGAGGAGAGTTGCTGACAGAAAAACAGCAAGCTACTGAACTTAGCGTGTTTCAGGTCTTCGAGTGGATGCAGGAGCGCGAGATGACCAACGCTGCATCTTATAGCAGCTACTTCAAGTACCTTGGACTGAGCCGTGACCCTGCGAGGGCGCTTCAAGTGTACGGTGCCATCAAAGACCGAACGATGAGGGTCCATGTCTCCGTCTGTAATTCGGTTCTCGGGTGCTTGGTGAAGAATGGGAGGTTGGACAGCAGCTTCAAGCTCTATGATGAGATGATACGAGAAGGCCTATCTCCTGATCCATTCACCTACAGCACCGTATGGGACTTTGACCCTTCGCTTTATTTATCTGTTAACATTGCGACATGAATCCTGTTTGTTCGGCTAGGAGGGCATGATTTTGAAATAGCTCTCTTGTGTCATCCAGCTGCTGTCAGGGTGTATGAAGTTGAAGCAGGGCTACACCAAGGCAATGGGATTGATCAATGATATGAAATCCCGTGGTCTTCAGATGGATATTGTGATATATGGCACTGTTATGGCAATATGTGCATCTCATAACTACTGTGAGGAGGCTGAAGTATACTTTCAGAAAATGAAAGATGAAGGCCATAGTCCTAATCTGTTCCATTACAGCTCCCTGTTGAATGCATATTCAGAAAATTCTGATTATGGAAAAGCTGAGTTGTTGATGAAAGATCTGAGGTCCTCTGGATTAACACCAAATAAGGTCACTTGTTCTTGTTTGTTGGTCCTTTTATTATTTAGCTTGAATGTATAATCTTTCATAATATGCCAAAGGATATTCTTACAAAAAGTAGGGGAAGTGTCTGCAAATCCCATCTAGCTGCAATCATAATTTTCGGCATGATACATAATTTGTTGAACGAGACTTGGATCAGCCCGCATTATAGTGTCATGGAGAGCACTGGTGCTCGGTACTCCTGAATGTTTCTATGACCTAGACACACATCTATTGCCCATATTATAGTGTCATTGAGGGAACTGATGCTCGGAGCTCCTAAATGTTTCTAGCCTCTTCACTTTGCAACTATCTTTTGTTTCTTTCTTGAAGTCCTATGTGGCTATACCTGTACTCAAGGTGTTTAGTGTCTACCTTGTATATATGTGTGTCTAGGTTGTAGGGTCTTTCTTGTAGGACTTCTTTCTTCTATTTATGCAATGATATGCAACTCTCCTGTGTTTGGAAAAGATAGGCTTATTTTATTTTCAGTCAGACTTTGATCATTGGTTTCTCACAAAATATATTGTTTATTGCTACAAAACCAATTTAGTGCAAAGAAGAACTTTGAAATATGGATCTAATTGTATAGTATATATACACTAAACATACTTAGGATTTGATTAATTATTGGTCAAAACATGCAGAGTTTGATTTTTTTTCAAAACAAATACTTCTTGTATTTTTGAAATGAGGGTGTACCTTCAAAATTACATTGCACTTGCAGGTTATATTGACCACTTTGTTAAAGGTGTATTCTAAAGGCGGTCTCTTTGAGAAGGCTAAGGAACTGCTAACTGAACTGGAAGCCTCAGGCTTTGCACATGATGAGGTAAAACATGTGGTCTCATACACAGAAGTATTTAATGTGCATACTTGCATGGTCCCTTGAAATTAACCGGCTTTACATGCTATCATGATTCCTTAATCCTTGTGCTGTATCCAGATGCCATACTGCATATTGATTGATGGCCTTGTCAAAGGTGGGAAGATACAGGAAGCAAAGATTCTATTTAATGAAATGAAAGAAAAAGGCATCAAATCTGGTATGGAATATAGCTGGATAACAGATTAAACTTTCTTTTTCTAGTTTTTAGTTGCAAATGTATTGATATGATTTTTCATAATATATTCTTTTAGGCTATAATTATTTGACTAGATTCAAATAAGCACATTGAATTTTATTTAAGCTTTATCTCAGAAAATCATACTACATTGTTGTGTTAATCTCATGCTTCTATTTAGAGTCATCTAGCCTTTTGACCTTATGTGGCATAGTGTGTCGTAATACTTCCTCTGATTCCAAAATGTAGTTTTAGGATTTTTTATCCAGTGATACTTTTTTAACTTGGACAATCGATGTATGGAAAGTTACATAGATTCACAACACATGGTTGATGTAACCCTATTCATCATGGAAAATACTTTCAGAATATATTATTTTTACTATTTAGAATGGTATATTTCAACAAAAAATGCAAGTCAAAGTTTCACATTGGTGACTGTCACTGCCCTAACCGACCTGCATTTGAAACCAAGTGTGCTCAGGTGTGTGTTGTAAGGGTTCTTGCTCCTTTTTTCTTCTTAATATAATGATACACAGCTCTCTTGCGTGTTCGCAAAAAAAATCAGAGGAAGTAATAATTCTCTAGAGCTTTCCCATGTACTCACATGTAAACGTCTTATTGCTATGTATTTCTGATCCTACTATAAACTATTGGTGTCTTGTTGACATTTTCAGTGGCCCTTATCTTCTTGTTTCTGCAGATGGTTATGCATTTAGTATCATGATTTCAGCATTACACAGAGGTGGTCATCACGAAGAATCAAAACAGCTTGCAAAAGAGTTTGAGTCTGAGAATGCATCATATGATCTGGTTATGCTTAATACATCACTGCGGACTTACTGCAGCACAAATGATATGGAGAGTGTAATGAGGATGCTAAAGAAAATGGATGAATTGAACATATCACCTGATAATATTACATTTAATACCTTGATAAGGTACTTCTGCAATTCGAAGGTTTATCACCTAGCATACAAAACGGTTGAAGATATGCATACAAAGGGTCATCAATTAAATGAGGTATTTGGTTCTCGCAAATCATTTGTGAGTTCTATCATGGATCAAACCTCAGCTATCACATCCTTGTTACTCTGTCCATTCTTGATTAGAATCATAGCTTTGTTTATTTTCTTTGCATTATTCCATTTGCTCATATTGTATTCCACATGGGGTTATAGTTCCTATTTTATTGGGCAGATTAAGTGGGAATGCAGCAAAATGATAGGTTTATATGGTTTTTGTAGTTTGATTGGTTAATTCTGTTGTCATCATAGTATAGCTTGTGCTTGGTCGAATAGTTCCATGTTATCGTATGTTTGACCATTTACCATTGCTGACTGAACCATTGAATCAGAATGAGTATGCCTCTTGTTGTGAGTTATGACACCCTTTTAGAAGAGGGTGATGATTACACAACTTCCTATAATATACTTTAACTCAACCTTTTATTGCAGAAAACCTATATGTAGTTGATAAAAAAAATCTGTATATCTTTTCCAGGAGCTTTGTTCTCATGTAATGGTACAGCTAGGAAAGGCAGGTTTTCCTTCTGAAGCATTTTCTGTGTATAATATGTTGAGATACAGTAAAAGAACAGTACACAAATCTCTGCATGAGAAGGCCTTAGGCATCTTAGTTGCAGCAGAACTTCTCAAGGAAGCTTATATAGTTGTTAAGGTAATAAAATTCTACTGCTTTTGCATTTGCTACTGCAATCTCTTTTGTTTGTTTTCTGTGTCCCCACTAAGCAAATGAAATTGACAGGACAATGCTGATCTGATATCTCCTGCTTCTTTGGAGAAGTTTGCTAAATCTTTCATGGTATCAGGCAATATAAATCTAATTAATGATGTCATGAAAGCCCTAAACCGCTCCGGGTGGCGTATCAGCCAGGTGATGGTTCTGTACCTGTAGTGTCCTTTGATACCTGTTTTAAATTTAATGCAGATTTCAAAAAAATGATGTAATCATACTAGATGGTTTGTTCTGAAAGTTATACTAAAAAAAAAGTTAACTAGAGGCTTATGCCATCAGATACTCTGAAATCACAATTACTCCATCCACAAAAGAATGCAATTCTCGCATTTCGAGGAGTCAAACAATCTAAACTTTGATTGAAATTATATAAAAATGTACTATCACTCGTGAAACAAAATAAGTACCATTAGATTAGTTATTATTATAGAATATATTTTCATAATAAATTTATTTGGAGACATAAATGCTATAATACTATTTACTCTAAACTTGGTCAAACTTAAGCTAGTTTGACCGGCACATTTCCCATAATTGCATTCTTTTGTGGACAGAGGGAGTACATGTCAAGCATGTAATTACCATGGTACTGTATCTTCTGATGTTCATGGATTGATAAATGTAATGGTTAAACCTCGCACATTTCCAGTCATGACTTCTGAGTAGTGAGCGCCTGCACAAACATATGTGGACTCCAATATTTATTTATAACTCATATGTCTGAACTCAGGATTCTTGTTTACATACAATCTATCTTCCTTTAACTTTATCAGACTTATGAAACTTTTTCGGTGCGACAAAGGCACTTCCATGGCAATTAGCGAGAACTGGACAGTATCCATTGGATTTCAGTTTCATTTTTTTTAAAAGAAAACTTGTTTTTGGGTGCCTTGTTTGTAATAAATGCCTATATACGTAAGAAATGGTGAAACGGTGTCACTCTGGCGCTGAAGTGGTTTTTACATGTCTCTGCAACCTGCTTTTAGCAGATCTTTTTCTGTGGGAATGGAGCAGTATCCCCAAGTTTCTACTGCAGAAACTAAAGTAACTAAAAGATTTCCTATATTCTCAACTTAATCAGGCTTAGTGAAATCATTGTTGCTCTGGCACTGACATGTTCATAAGGTTGCTGTGAATGGGGGGTCTAAGAAACCAGAGTAATAAGATCTCAGAACCAGGATTAAAAAACATTAGCATGCCACTTGCAAGTAACTAGGTGGTTTCGAGAACAACTGGTGCGCGTTGGGTTTGGCTGAAAACAATGATGACTAAGAATTTGCTTGCTACCTCTTTCTAAAATATCATACATAAGAATTTGTTTCTATAGACTTCAGCACAATGTTCAGTACATGTTCTCTTTTTTGGTTTTCTTCTGGTAGCTTGCATTTACTGGTTGATCAACAGCCGGCCTATACCTTTTTCTCCCAGGCTAATTGTGTTCCTCAGGACCAGTTGGAAACTTGTTTTGTGACCTGTATAAGTTTCCAGGTGAAGCTGAGGATTTAATTCTAGTAGACTAAATAGGTTAGTGAAACTTTTAGTGAAAGTACAGTTAGTCGCAGCTGCCATATTTTAGTGTCATTTCCCAGATCGGCAGATCCACATTCCATATCCAAAGTTGAATCTGCATTTCATCATCTAGATGGAAGAATCCTCCTATCTGCTCTCTTGGCCACCACTGGCTCCTTATCACCGGGCCAAATTGATGGCCAGAGAGGATATCGTCAAACGCTGTGAAGGCCCACCACAATCTAGTGGCTCGGACTGAACTCTTTTCCTGTGACCACAAGTCTGCTGGCCTTATGGGCATTCCCTGTGCTGCTGCTTCCTGCCTAAAATCATCTTGTTCTGATTTCTTATATGATCTAGAAAAACGTGTGGCTGGGTTAGCCTTTGCATGTTGTATTCTCTACTTATTTTGTTTCATTTCTTCAATAGAATAAACAATCTTAATTTTGGACAAGAGAGATTGATGATGCCTTTCTTTTTCCGATGCGTTCCTGACTGTAGAAATGCAGTGATTAGCTTTTGAGGAAATTTTTTATGATGGTGCAATTTTATTTCTACTACCTGCATAGTCTGATATAGACTGTTCTGATAGATCTATTACTCTGTATTTTGTTGAATTTGATTTCTTCACTAAATCTTGTTATGTGCTCATACCTGAAGCCTCATTTTTCATGATAATTTTGTGATAATCTTCTTACTCCCAGAATCGCGGGTCTTGTCCACTGCAAAATTTTCTTGTTCGTGCTTTGGGTGTCATATTCCCCTGGTCCCTGATTTGGGCCTGATACTGTCAAGCTTTTGGACTTCAGGATTGGCTTGGGCAGTACCAGGCTTTGTCAGGCCTGTCCTTTCCCCACATATGAACAGCTATAGCAAGCATGCTAACTTAAACTTCCCTCCAACACTGAACACAACCATTGCATTTGCAGGACATCTTTGGGAGAGCAATCAAGAGATACATCCGGAAGCCTGATAAGAAGCAGCTGCTGCTGTGCCTCTTAGACTGGATGATTGGACAAGGCTATTCTGTAGACTCGTCATCAAGGAACTTGCTTTTGAAGAATGCTCAGCTTTTTGGCCAAAACCAAATTATAGCAGAAATCCTTTCTAAGCAGCAGACAGCATCAAGGACTATTGGCCAAAGACACAAAAATTGATAAAGGAAAGATTTTGTATATATAAGCTGTTCATATCCATCCAGGTACCTCCTTTGATAAGCCATGATTGTTTGAGGATCAATTTACTGTGCTCTGAGGGATCAGTAAGAAACAAGATATCAGTTATCACCCTCATGTGCAGATATGCCTAGGCTGCAAACCAACTTTTATTAGGATTTCAGATTATGGTATGTGGTATATGTTGAATCAACTTGAGTTCTCTAACATATCACGGCTAAACTTACGTAATGTCTGTTGTGGCCAGGAACTTTCGCGGGAGACATACTTCTTCCAGTAGCAGTACAGCTGAGAGTGGAGTACCGCCATGCTTGCAATGATATGTGTGTTAGATTATGTGTTGTCTGGAGGCTTACAGCAAGTTTTCAATACATTTCCATACAGCTAAGTCAGAGACAATTTGATTTGATTTTGGAGGATTTTGCGTATGGCATTCAACCTGGTTTAGGTCACTGTACCTAGACAGCAGCATACAGATTTAATTTTGTTGACAATTGTACAAGGTATTGTGTGCGTCTTGAACATGCACTTAACAGTTTCCTGAGCAATGAATGTAAGAAGGGTTACCAGACGTTCCAATGCAGTGATAAGTTTTTTTTTACTATACTAGCACTAAACTTTTTGAACTGAAACCAAATAAGCATGCTTTGATCAAACTCTAAAACACACTTTAGTCTGAACATGACCTGTCATCTGCTTGCTGCCTTGTTGCACTGGCCAATCATATCCCAATGAAAAGGTTGATAAAACCACACACATATTCCTAAAAAAGAATAATAAGAATCAAAAGACAAATGAAGGATAGAAGAAAATTGGCCATCCAAAATTCCGATCAATGCACTGTGTTTTTGTGAAGTAAAAGACCAGTTCCTGCATAGATTGCATCTCACGGGAAGCTATGTCAGCTAATATTAAATAGTTAATAATTGCACGATATTTTTCAGAACTATAAATTCTGATTGTAAGCAGCACAAGCTGCGATCCATTATTAAACTAGTCTTCTGTCCGTTTACAAATATTTGTCCTAAATGTCGTATACTTTAAAAAACAGAGGGATTACTTAATTAGTTTGGAGAAAAGAGGTTGCTTTGAAGATTGATTTTGTACATACGGGCAGAGTATCAGACATGTGGTTTTTTGTCCTAAAAAAGTGAGGAAATATGTTTGTAACCTGTTTTCTTTTTAGGAAAACTGGATAACATACTATTATGCCTTTATGCAACAAAGTTTGGAACAGTTTTGTATCCTTTTTAGAGGATGAATTGTTATTATAGCCCTGTTATTGCAGGATTGTCATGTGAAACTACGTACTATAGCCTCTGAAACTCCTTTTCTTTTGCAGCCCAGGTAAATTGTAGCCATGCTGAGGCATTCAGTGTTTATCTGTTATCTCTATTGAAAGGCTTGAAGTTATTTGTCTTCATCACTAAATTGGTGCCAGTGTTGAGGTGAACTTGGAGAAAGAATCGTGCTTTAGTCTGACAAAATTTATTTGCTGATGGTTATATAGGATGTCCTTTTTAGAGTTGCGTCTATGGCACGGACTGATAAACAGTGACATGAACAGATAGCTGCTGTACAATATTTTAGCTTTGAGGCAGAGAGCCTGAGTATTTTTCTTATGCTAGGCCTCAGTTTTGTCTTTGAGATATTTGGTTTGAGCTTAGCTGAATGGTGGGGACTCTATGATTGAACTTACACTAACCACCACCAGCCGCAGGATCTTTTCAATAAATATCGTCCAATAAGTTTTGAGTCCACATATATTCGAACACATAAGATTCCTTCGCGTACAGTTTTGACCAGTTTTGCAGAATCTTGTTGCATGTCTAGCCTTCATAATTATGTGCCCATCTATTTGTCCTTTTATCTCCTTGAATTGTTGATGAAACCTGGTAGCATGCGGTCCTCTTTGTCGCATGTAGCACCAAAGGGGATTCATTGCATCCAGACATTTTTGCAGTGCAGAAAGTCGTCATACTCGGCTATATTCATTGAGTGGGACATGTTTCCCTTGTTGCAGGCGACGAGACTTTCAGGTACCAAAGCATATCATATTGGATTCCTATCAATTTTCAAATTTCCTATGCTGTAATCATTCTGTTCCAAAAAAAAAATCAAGCAGCACATATGAGCTGCACGATAAGAAAATCAAGCTAACAAAATTTTGAGGAGCAACATTTCTTTCCCCTGAAATTATATGGTGCATCTCAATTTCTTTTTTTGCTATTGTTTGGTCTGTGCAGTTAAGTTTAACTCTGAGAGACCCAGCCCCTGACGATTTCAAGAACAAAATGGAAGGAAAGAATAAACCTGGAGGCATCGAAGTTTATAAGAGTCTCAATCTATAAACATGGAGGCAACGAGGGGCTGAAATTCAGTGGAATTCTTGTGATAATGGTTTGAGGAAACGGCCTTACAAAATTCTGGAGTAAATCATGTTTGAGTCCCTTGTTGATATTTTTCCCCGTTTTTTGGGCAGATGGTGCCATCCACATCCACCTAAACTACTTGGCACCCTTCTTCACTCAATCCACTGATAGCGAGAAGTTTACTCTGCTACGTATTTTATTCAGCCAGTGGACATTGGTGACTTGTGTGCCCCTGGTAAGATAAACTAGCACGCACGAAGGCAACGTTGTCAGAGCGTACAAATCACCAAAAAGAAAATTAGGACAGGTTTGGAGGTGAGGACCAGCACAACACACAGGAAAGTGGGGCCAAGGCGAGCTATCGCGATCAACGATTGGGCCCGTGACATCTCGTCGACTTTATTTTGGCACCGCATATTTTTCTCTTCTCCCGAATGACGGCTCTCATTTCATCAACCATCCGTAACTGGCGTTACCATCCAAGCTTCTTTCGCTCTTTCTTCAAACCGTGTCGTTGTCAGTTGCCGTCATTTGGTGGATTGGAGATCGCTGGCCAGTCTCGGCAGTCAAGTGGAGGAATCTCGCAAGCAATCCCGAATTCCTGATCCCGTCCGCGAGGAGGAAATGGTCGCCAGCCACACACACTGGTGGAATCATCTTCCTGTGTCTGTGTCTGTGTCTGGCATGTAGGGCCCGTTGTAGATGTGTTCGCTTCCACCTTAATTGAGTCCTGAGCAGTTAGTCGCAAAAAAAAAAAAAAAAAAAAAGAGAGTCCTGAGCAGTTGTCTCACTAGAGGTTTATTGCACTGCACCGCACAACACGCAATGCTGAAAGGTGAGCCGTGCAGCTATCACACTACACGGACATGCTTATGCAGCCTCGGAGCCACCAATGGCAAATTGGGGCAACAAGCACGCAATTGACCGAGAATACGGCGCTTCAAATCCAAATGTCATGTCGATACGTGCCATCAACTTGCCTTCTCAAGATTCTTGCATAGAAATATCATCTTGGTCTTTCCCCTACTATTGCACGGGAGGGACATGCATATTCAGATGACAATTGTATGCTAGATTAATGAACATTAACATGAGCCCACCAATAAGAAGGGAATCCACTCACTCGGGTAAAAGAGTTTGCTGTCACCTGATTTCCTTTTTCACCTTTGAATCACCATTCAAAGGCTTTGTATCGTCTTCTTCCTTCCAACTCGTTGTCTACGTGCCCCCGAGCTCCTGCTTGCCCTAGACGACCATTGTTCTAGCGCTAACGCGGTAGCGCTAACACAGTAGGGTCGTACTGGAGCTTCACACGGGTGCTGGCACCATCGAGCTTAGACACAACCCTGTCACGCTCGTGGCAGCCATCTCCCTACATCTTCCACTGCCACCTCCTCTCTACATCATCGTCTCTATCCAAATAGTCTCGATCCACCGCCTCTTGTCCAGTGGCGGAACGACCACCTTTGTGACCGTCACCGCTGTCGATCCAACTTGCCCTCACAAAGCTTTCTAAGGCCAACAAATTTACAAACAAATAACTCCAATTTTAGAAGAGGAACGTTCTAGCCATCAGCGAGCAACTTCCTTCGGGATGCCTTCGACCCCGGGACCTATAGTCAGCACGGGAGTGTTAACGTCAAGAATGGAAGGATTCCCATGCATGATGTGATATTTTAGGAAAAACATTTCGAAGTCACTGGAGGGCGTTAACACTTCTTTTTCTTGCCCCTTGTTTGTTTGAGGATGACCCTTCTTAAAGAGTCATATCTTGGTATGCGCCCGTGAAAGAACAACTTAGACCTTGTTTGAATCCACTAATATTAAATAGTTAGCTAGCTAGCTAGCTATTGAAAAAGCTTGTTTGGATCTATTTCCTAATACGTGGTTGGATAGAACATCTATTAGCATCCCTTCACCAACTAATGAACGAATTGGTAGTACCTCCACTTACTAGACAATAGTTGTGGATTTATTAGCAAGCCTATTTGGATCCTCACTTACTAAATTTAGCTGTTATAACTATGTCGATGCGGGACCCACAGGATACCCCGCAAGAGAGAGAGATCTAGTTCAACTAGGATTCTTCCCATGTAATCTTAGTAATAGAACTATTAAGTAATCCTACTAGGAAATCTCATTGTAAACCGACTAGGACTCTGGCCTCCTGACTATATAAAGGAGGGCAGGGCTCCTGAAAGAAGGAGAACAATTGTACAACATAACACTTCATAATCAATCCAACGCAAAAGGCAAACGCTGACTGGACGTAGAGTCGTTACTCGATCTACGATCGAGGGCCTGAACCAGGATAAATCGACTGTCTCTTGTGTTTACCATCGAGTTCAGCATACGTCGAAGCCCGAACGATACTGCCATGGTACCCCTGTGGCAGGCTATCGGTGGTAAAACATCGACAAACTAAACATATATGCCCTTATTGATATTAACGATTAGTGTTACTCCTCGCAAAAAAACGATTAGTGTTACTAGATCCAAATATATATGCCCTTATTGATATATTAAAAGTGAGATCAATTTTCCTCTTTGGAGAACACTAGTAGGAGTAGTGTGTAGTGACTAAGAATAGGAAAGGTAGAATTGTTGAAT